AAATGGGGTAACATATTTTAATGCTTAAAAATCTAATCAGAGTAACTTCCAGATGGAGGGAAAGGCTCCTTTCCACCACCAGACTGGAATCATGGTTGACGTCGTTCCCAGGAGTTATTCTTTCAGCATGGCCATTTCGGCACATGCTCGCATTACCGATCTGCTGTGCTGCACAAGCAATCAGTGGCCTTCCCCAGGCTAATGGCATATACGGGAACAATTAATAGCTCTCTTGGCACCAGCACTGTGCCCTGCACCTTTAAACAGCCCAAAATATTAATATAATCACCCCAAGGAGCATTGCTTCTAGATTCCTCATTAGATTGATTTTTGCAGATGAGCAAACCAAATGATAGAGAGACAAGAACATGCTGATGAGACCCCTTCCTTCCTTCTGCCCCACGACCCCCTCCATGCTCACTACCTCTTATATTTCTAATTAAGGTGTTGTCCAGATAAAAATGGCTCCCCTTTGGCACTGACTGCTAGATACCAACAGATTCATATGCCAGTGGTTGAAAAAAAAAATCTTTGGTAAGAGCAAATATAAAACTACTGTCCTACGTGAGTTTGGGAAATCATAGCTGATTCTGCAATATAAGGTTGCCCACTCAACGCAAGGCTGATTCAGAAACAGGAAGGTGGGGGAAATGCGCATTTTCGTCTTATATATCCTTCAAGTCACAGAAACTTTATAAATTTGCCTGAGAAATAGTTAAGAAGTCATCACTGGAGTGATTCGCCTTAGCCATTGGGGACCATTTATTTTTCTACATCACAGGTTTGACATCTTACCTGTTTAGTAGTTTGCTAAGACTTCAGAGGTCATTTGACCAGAGCAGCTACGAACAGCACTCTTATTCCAGCAAAGTTATGTAAAGTGTGAGCCATCTTTCCATTAGCACATAGTACGCACCACAGACGTGGGAGAAAAGTTTCAGTTCAATATGTACCTCTCAGCTTTCCACTTGTTCACATCCTTTGATCAGACTGACCACCGACAAGGGCTCCATGGGTCTCCTTCAGTGTCTAATGGGCACTGCTCCTGCTGACCTCCAGAAAGCACTTTACGAATGTTACCCACTCAAGTGCACAAAAATGCCAATTGGTGTGGGGCTTCCTACGATTGACATCATAAAGACTTCATCCTGAACACATTAAAAATGGCCAGACCATTCCAAGTCAATAGGTCAACAGGAGATGCTAAAAGGGTGACATGAAATATCATTTTATTCTTTCTCCCTTTAGGATTTAAGAATGTAACCGTTGGTTAGTAAGAATAGCGAGACTCTGAGTCAGCCCTCCTCCAGGTGACACAAGCTTTGTATTCTGGTCCTTAGACCATCAATCTGCTGTAGTATTGCTACGTGTCTGACGCTAGCACTATCTCCATTTTCCTTGACTTTGTGATCCAACAAATGTTTTTCACGTTCCATTATGTACTATAATTTAATATAGGAAAAAATGGCTGAGTGATGCTGACTGTATAAAAAGATGAGGGGCAAGACCCCTGTGTTATAGGCTAGGTGGATGGAGGAACGCCAGAAGCTTAATTTCTAACTCTAGAGATAGAAATGAGTTCCAAGAAGCCACACGACTGTGGACTGTAGTCCTTAAGGAAAGTTATATAATCAAGGCAGGGAGACTGTTGAGAAGGAAAAGAACAGGGGAAAGAAAGGAAATGACAGCACCTAAGGAGGAAGGAGATGGCAGAAAGGAGCAAAGCCACAGAAAAAGGAACAGAGGATTTGGGACTCTGACAACTCAGGAAGCAATCATTTAACTTAGACAAAGCTGGTGGTAGCAAATAAGCAAAAGAAGGAAAACCATAAGCAACAGCACCCTGTGTAACAATTGATGCAACCCTAAACTCCTTGCTGGGAACATAAGCAACGTTAAAACACAGTCATGCTAACATACACCACAAAGGCTGAAAAAAAGTCACAAGGCTCGGAGGACCCCACAGCACCCCCAGGTCTGTGGAGAAGCAGGTAGATGATGTTTGTGCAGAAAGCAGACAGCTGTGCACTGTGATGCATCTTTAGGGGGACAGGCAGGGCGGGGCTAGGGAAGATTCAACACATGACACGTGAGAGGACTTCTGATGTCAACACACACATGACTTTCCCAAAGTCTTAGCCGGCTAGAGGTCCTGCTGCAGCCCTTCTCAAACTGTAGCCATCTCTATTTATTTTATATTCTTAAGGGCACTTTGGGTCTAATCTGTGTGCATAATGTTCTACAAAGCAGGATGAATGCATACAGCAAGAGTTTATGATTTTGTCTTAAAGATAAGGAAAATAATTCCTGCATCTGTAAACTCAAGGGGAAGTATCAAGAGCCTGAAGGAGAAGTGATGAGAGATGATTGACACCTAAAAGAGGGTGGGGAGGAGCTTTCTTCTTTTCCAACCATGTCCAGGAATCATTATTAAGCAATCTTTACTAAAGTTAATGGTTGCCATGAGATAGAATCAACCACATATTGTGTTTGTGCTTGAGTATATAAAATAGATTTAGCAAAAAAAAAATAAGTTTTCAGTAAATTCTTCAAAAGTTATTTTAAAGAAAACTTTAAACTTAATTTATCAATAAAACTTTAAACTTAAAACTTATCAATAGAACATCAATGTGACGAAATATGAGCTCTGGAGAATGTTCCCACAACAAAGCACACGGCTATGCTGCCACATCTAACCAACATTAATTATATCCTTGTGATGTCTTCTGTCTTCTTCCCAAAAGCTAATAAGACCCACACGACATCACAGTTAATGGGAGTGTGGTGCCTGTTGCTTAGGCAACAGGAAGAATAAATGCAGGTCAGAATGTGCTACCCGGAAAACAAGAGCTAGAACATGACGCCGAATGGAGACCGAGCGGGTCTAACGGATTTTCACATTAATGAAATTTGCTTCTTAAAGAGGGCCAATCACTGTGCTCTTTAAGTTCAGCGTTTAGCAGACTATGGCAATCAGGGAATAATTATCATACAGGTAGGCATCCTTTTCCTACAACATCGGCAGCAAACAGAGTATGACGGCAGCATGCAATGGACTAATTGATGACACCGTTTCATGATTTGCTACATTTTCACAATTAATTAGTCCTTCTCCGTGGCAAATCAAAATTGTTCTGTTTTAAAATTCGGTCTCTTGATGCAAGCCTTTGGCTTGCGTGAATTAACGAGGGGCTCTTATTTTCTGGAAGATTTCATACGATACTTGGAAATGGACAGGCAAAGCCACAATCTAGGATCGGAACTTGATCTTTCCCACGGTGCTCGGGGCTCTTGCCCTTTGGATACATTTTGTGCGCAGCTTACATATGCTTGTTCTTCACACTCTGCTCTCAAGTCCTTTAAAACCTGTGCAATCACCTTCTAGTTAAATACTTTCGAAGGGGGATTACATTCGCTCATAAGCGTTTAATATTCAGAGGAAAATTAAGCGGAATTAAAGTCCTTCAGTGTGGCCGATTAATTCAGGGAAGCTAATGGCCAACTTCTCAGGGGCCAGAGTGAATTTGACAAGGGCTTGGGAATGAGACACCCCATTTGAAGGAGAGACAACGCAGAAATGTGTAGTCAATGATCTTCGTTTTGTTTGCTAGCTCCTCTAATTATTACAGCATCTGTTTATTGCCCCAAGTCTGTCTGAACTCTGAACTCTGCCCAGGCTCTAACACCTTCCACTTCCATCCTATTTCAGTACCCACGGGGTCTCGGCTGCAAACCACTGTCTGATGGACACAAGGAAAATAAATGCACAGCTCTTTATGGAGAGAAAAACAACAAGAAACCCATAAAGGGTTTTATGCATGTATTAGTTAAAGCTCATAGGATGGGCCAGATTTATGCATCTTAAAAAAGCTTGTAGGCGTACATATTTTTGTAAAATTTAACTATCTTAATAACCTTCAAATCTATAATAATTCTGTCAAGTTTAGAGAGAAACAATCCTGGAAAAGGAACTCGAAAGGTCTGACTAGCCCTGTTTTTATGATCATGCTGTAGGTGTCTCCCCAGCATTTTATTTCAGAGGATCCATTAAGTATTTCTATAAGCCGATGGTGTGCTACATGCTTATGACATGGAGGTCTCCCTAAATTTAGGGACCAAGCGACACATGGGGTGGGACCTTTGAAGCAAGGAAAGGTGAGAGGGCTGTGGTGTGGCTTAAAGGGGCTTAACAAGAGGAAGCGATGAGCGCTGGAGGAGGTCTCAGGATGATTAGGAAACTAGACTGTCGCCTGCACCCTTCCCATCCTCCTCCTCACCTATATGCACAGTGGGAAGTTTGCAAACCCCCGGTTTAGACAGCACAGAGACCCGGACTCGGAAGGACATCGATGCATTTGGTACAGCAGCTCCTCTCTATCCAATTGATCCAAGTGTTTGTTTTCCACCCAAAGTAACAAACAATACTTCACCGCTCCTCAGTCAGCATGTGGAAGAAAGAGCATGCTCTCGCTAATGGACTGGCTGAAGCGGCTGGCTAATGAAGGGCTGGCCGCAGGATTTAAACTGCTTTATTGAGTGATTAGCAGGAAAAATGATCGCCATACCATCAACAAAGCGGATTGTCTAATTAATCACAATGCTAATGTCCAAGTGAAATAGCATGTCTCTAGAATCTAAGGTTAGCTGAAGCGTGGTATAATATCACTGTGTGCTAAGATCACAGATTCATAGGGGAAAAAAATCACACAAAGAATGGCAGGGAGAATATAAATGTTAATCTTCTTTCAGAGCCTATAAATAGAGCACTCACCGATTCATACAACACACATGTCTAAGGGATGCATATAGATCCCATTTTCTAGTCAGTGTCTACATGCATACAGTAAGTTCTGTCCTAAAGGCATTCGCTTTTCCGAGGCAGTTGCATATATAAAGCCCATCCATTTCCGTGCAAACCAGGCTGCCTCTGAGCCGTGGAAGACACATAAGAAGCAAAGACAGACAAAAGGCGGCTCCGTGGCCACAGAGAGCAATCTTACCATAAACTGTACATTGTCAAATCCATTAGCCATCAGGTGGTTCTCGTACTGAGGTAGCCCAATGCTTTCCAACCATTGTCCCACTGTTTGGACGGGGCATCTGGGTCCTGTAAGAGGATGAAGAGGGAAGCGTTTTAGCAGGGAGTAGCCGTCCACAGGGTAATAGCGGTAGTCCTGGGCTGAGAGGTGGCATTGCCACATCATGCTCCGGGGAAAGTTGTTCTCGAAGGAGCCCGCCAGCTTGACAGATTAACGTTCTCAGCGAGAGAGCGAAGTCAGAAGTAACACATAGTTTGCCTGGAGAGGCTGCGGAGTATGACTTGATCCTAGCTCCACATTGCCTACATATTAATCTTTACTACCGACCAGTGCGTCACACAGCCCCCGAAACCAGGCAGCAGAAGAAGGCATAGCAAGCTGTCAGCCTAGGCTGCTCTGCGTTCTGTGTGACGGTGTGAGTACTCCACAGTGAGCAATGCCCGGCCAGCAGCCAGAATTCTTTTTATCAAGTAACTCCTACACTCGTCAGTATGCGGCTCCATGCTCCTTGCTCCCCCTCGCTCGCTCCCCTTCATTACCCAGCCCAGGCTACACCTCGCATTTTCAATAATAGCCATCAGATAAGGCAGATTTTTTTTTTTTTGTCTGCAAGCTGTAAGCCTGCTGCTGCTGCTGCTCCCTCCTACACACCCATCCAAGCGTCAATCTTGAATGATGAGAGCCGTCAAAACAAATGCAGAAAATAGCAAGACTCAAAAGCCAACCAAAGCGCCTAAATCGGAATCGAATCTTCGTCCCCGGTTATACATTACCGAGCTATTTTGTTGTGGGATTTTTACGTTTCAAAAGACACCACCGGGGAACACGGAGCTCACAACAAGGCTCGCACTACAGGCACCCTTTCCCCCTTTCCTTCCTTGCCTTTCTCCCTTTTAAATGCACCAGAGGGAAGTGTTTCTGATGGAAAGCTTCACAGTGTAATTGTTCTCTTTCTTCTTCACCATGCAGCATACAAGGGAACCTCTCTCGTTTTTTTTTTTTTAATTTTTTGAATTACTGCAACATATAGAAACTGCATCATAATCTGCAAGTCAAGATAATCCATTGCCTGCTCGTTCCAAATAACAACGGTATTAGGCACAAGAAAAGTCTTTCCCCTCCTCTGGTATTTATAACCCTATCCACCAGGCACCCCATTCTAAAATATCCATAAAGGTAACGCTAACTGGGTGGATAATTTTTTTTTAAATAAAGAAGAAGAGCCCTAACCAAAAATAATTCAAGAATAACAGATGTAAATGTGTGAGTTTTACTGAATGGCAGACAGACTGAGTAATTTATTTGATAATTGAGAGAAATCACAGATTAATAATAGAACCTGAAGAGCTACTGAGGAGAGGCTCATGAGAAAAATGAGCCTCAAAGAAAACTGTCAGAAGGGCTAATTCACCTCCCTCCCCCCCACACCCCCGTCCCAAGGAAGGACTCGTGCCCTGTGTTCCTGGAAGGCCACCAACTTCTGCTTGAATGCTGCCTACGACAGGGCTCTCACCACCCAGCCAAAGCCACCGTTCATTAGAAAGCTCTTTTACTTCCTCCCGAACTCCCACTCTCTGGCTCCAGCTCTGACTCCAGAGCCACACAGATGGGGAACAGAGCCTCTTCCACGTCAAGAACTTTCCAAATTCAAGCTAATTCTCACCCAATCCAGCCCACCCGGCCCTGAACAGTGCCTGGCACACAGTATGCGCCCAATAAATATTTACTGTGTAACTGAACCCTTCTCTTTTCTTCTTTAAGTCACATCTTTCTGTTTCTTTTCTCAGTTTAAGGGCATTGCTAATCTCCCTGGCACATAGACATTTAATCTCAAAGCAGCTTCTACTGCAATGGTCTTTGAGCTCTAGCCCCCTCCCCTGCCCCCTCTCCTGTGACTTTTGTCTTGTTTCCTGGCACCTGGCCTGAGATAAAAATGCCCACTCCAACGGTCTTAAATCTCTGCTATATTTTTAATCATTAAAAATGTTTTCATACTGTGCATGCGCACGTGTGTGTGTGTGTGTGTGTGTGTGTGTGTGTGCACTGACCACAGTGCACACATATGGAAGTCAGAGAACGACCTGCATGAGTTGGTTCTCTGCTTCCACCCTGTGGGTCCCTGGGATCAAACCTAATCAGGCAAGTTCCTTTGCCCATTGAGCCCTTTCTTGCCCACACCACACCACACCACAGTATTTTAAAGAATCCAACTTACACACAGCGTCAGAATAATTTAAGAAACAGCTTAGGTAACTAACTCTTATATCAAAACCCTGCTGAGGTTTCCCGCTGGATTAAAAATGAACTCTCAACTCTTGGTGACATTTTGAGGATCTCATCTAGCTTTCTAACCCTTTTTCCTCAACACTGCTTTCACAGTTCTTAACCAGGGGGATTTTTGACTGGCTTTTGAAGGAAGGCTGAAATGAGCTTGGGTTTTATTTCAACCCTACAACTCTTCTGCAATTTCCCTTGCGAAACCTCTTCTAGTCCTCCCAACATAAAAATGTTTCTTCCTCCTCTCTCTTAAATGGCATAATTACCTTCTATTATAACAATCATTTTCTAACTTACATGATCATTATTTATGTCCAAGACTTGTTTCCTGAAAGCGGGGAACCTGTTTTCCTGATACTGTACACTGTATGTGATCAATTTTCACTTGATTTGCCAACATGAAACAATCTCAAGGTCCAAACTCCAAAAAGCTCTCTTATTTTCCAATTGAAAATTTTAATTGTATCATTTTGTTTTACTGGGTAGTTACCTTCTTTTAAACTCTACTAAGTATCTGATTTCTTTATAAAAGGGGGGTATTTGGGGCTCACCAGAAATGGAAGCACAGAAGAGAGAGAGGTAGAGGATACCCATTGCAAGATTGCATCCTGGATGTGACAGCCCTACTGCGCATGTGAACTAAACAGTGGTTGTGACTAGATGCACAAGACTTGTACAAGACCAAGGCCACCAAAATCCTAGTATGGACAGGGAGGTCCATGAAGTGCTGCCACCTGCTACAGAGCTCTTGGGGACTGATGGCCGCTAGTGGAAGAAAAGTCAGGTGTCTTCAAGGATGGAGCCCCTGAGAGGCTATCCACACGGAACAAGCAGAGTTTAAAAAGTGGGTTAAAAAAAAAAAAGAAGCACATGAACTTGGGAAGGAATGATGACAGGGGATGAGGGGGTAGAGGGGAGGGGAAGGTGGGTGGATTTTATTCAAAGGCAATGTATGCATGTATGAGATTCCCAAACAAAAAAATCAAGACATTTTAATTTTTAAATAGAATTTTCAGGTTGGGATTTTTTTTTTTTTTTTTTTGCATCATCTTCATTCTCTCCTTGAATGAGCATGCCTGGGTGAATTGTATTATACTTGTTTATACTTTATCTCTTTTTGCTCCTAGATCTTTTAAGAATATCAAAGAGGTAGTAGAGTTGCATGCACCAACTTTAGGAGACTGTAGTTATGCAACATGACCTGCATGAGACAATGAGGACAAGACGCTCCTTGCGAAAGATTAGATCTAACGCTGCTACCACGTGCGGTCTAACGGAAGTCTCATAGTTTCTTGGGTTCCCACTGACAGTGCTCTTCCGGGCTATTTTATGAGAAGGTAAATCAGCTCTGTAAAAACGGAATAAAAATAACCAGGGTATATTTTTGCTTGGCAAGGCATGTGCTGACTGGCTTGCTTTTAAAGCCCATCTCATGTTTTAAAATCCAAACCAGTGACTAAGTGACTAGCAAAAGTATCATTCAGTTATTCCGTATTAAGTCACACTCATTAAATGAATGAATGAATGAATGAATGACTCTGGAAATGGCTGTTGGTTTCTTAACAAATAAAAAGGGAAAATCATTCCATGACTTAGACTGGTTATATATAAACAGTTTAGAGAAATTATTTGATTTTATCCATTTTAACATTTTTATATAGACTTTCTAAATTCTATGATCTTAATTATTCAGTTCTTTGATTTCTGCTTAATAATTCTCATATGTGAGCAAAATGTAGGGTGGGGGTGAACGGGAAGAAGGTGAAACAGGAAAGGGAGGAGAGAGGAGAGGTCCTGAGGCATGCTGGTTTCTGATTTTTTTCTGTTTTTCCCATGAGTCAGACTTCTAAAGAATCCTGATTTAGGCCTGAAGATCACATTCAGTGTCTAAATATATTCTTTATTTTACTCAAAATGCTCTCCTGGAGTTTAAAATTCTTACAAGCCATTACTGGGCAGGCACTTTTATTCAGTGAGGACCTCTGTGATTTTTCAAAGTGAGTATAGTAAAAGGGAGAGGAGGGAGTGGACTCAGGGCCACTGTGTCCCGATTTGTGTATGAATTATTGCCACTTGTGATAAAGTTCAAACTATGTGATAGGACCAGGGACTTCCCTTTGGCACAGTTTTCTGAAAACATAATTCTAATGAGTTCCACTCCCAGAAACGACAATAATTGCTCAAAACTAGGGTGGCAACAAAACCAAAACAAACAAACTCCAATACCCCCCATACCACTGGAAGATTCTACAACGTGCGCCAATACCACACAACACATGGAAAGATATTATTTAAAACATTTCTAAATTGCTGCGATCAGGAGGGTTCTGTGGCTGGTGGGTGATGGCTGGCTTCTACCTTCCCTTGTTCCAGAGTCCTCTCCACAGACACTTTCTGTAGGAACACAATCAGGAGAACGGCCCCTTCTTTCTTTAGCTCTTGGGCCATAGATAGGGAATCTCATGAGAAGGGGCAGGCCAGCCTTTCCAGTCTCTTCTAAGTCTGCAGACATTAAATTCCGAGTGAATACAATTGAGAAGTCAGGGGCTTCCTTTGTCCACCCCACTCTTAGTCATGGGGTAGAATCTATCCTACTTTGGCTAGACCAAGAGCAGTTGGTGCAGGGCACTTAGAGGGGCCAGTCCCATGCTCAGAAACATAAAAAGAGAAGGACAATGCCAGCACCCACTGCTCACAGGACAGCTCAAAGTTTTTGTCCAAGGGGAGTTTCATTCCTAGAAATCTAAGTTCTAAAACTTCCCCAAAAGGTCAATTTATCTGAAACACAAGA